ACCTGGATGGAGGGGGGAGGACCTTGGACTTCCCACAGGGCAGGGAACCCTGACTGCCCTTTGGACTGGAGAGGGAGAGGGAGTGGGAGTGTGGAGAGGGGAAGGTAAATGGGAGGAAGTGGAAATTTTTAATTAAAAAAAAAAGAAAGTGGAGATTCCATTTAAGCTAGCAAAATATGCTACACTTAACAATATATTCAAATTTTGATACTTGAATTTATCTCTTTGCTTTTATACAGTCTTGAGTGTGACTTTGCTGTTGTTGCAAAGTATATTTATAATGTGGGATGTCCTACTGTATATGTGTTGCTTTTATTGGATAATGAATAAAGTTGTGTTGTCCAATGGCTTAGCAGAGTAAAACCGGGCAGGAAATCCTAACAGAGATATAGAAAGAGAGTAGACGGATTCAAAGGGACCCATGTAGCTACCCAAGAAGCAAGAGGTAACAAACCATGAGACTAGTGGTAAAATACAAAATAATAGAAATAGGTTAATTTAAGATATAAGAGCTAGCTAGAAATATGCCCGAGTTGTTGGCCAAACAATGTTGCCTTTAACATAGTTTCTGTGTGATTATTTGGGTGTGGGCAGGAAACAAACCTCAGTCTCTATTTACATATAATTTATTTGGCAGACACAAAGAGAAAAGCAAAATATAATTGTATCTGCACAGCCTGCAAAGCAAGGAAGTGTCGAGAAACGTAAAGACATCTGCTACCAGTGAGAGATTCTTGCTTCATATTTGATTTATGACTTACCAAGTCCATGGAAAAACCTCAATGGCAACTGCAAGCCAGTTAGCTCTAACGTTTGAGGAAATGGGGTGTGTATGAGGAACACGGTGGCATTTTCAGTGAGTCTAAGACTGCTTCAAAATAAAAAGGTTAAAAACAAGGTCATAGCTATCCAGAACTCCCCACAGCAGTGTTTAGTACTAAGTGTGTGTGGTGATGGGAGGGGGGGTTATATAAACAGAAAAGGACCCGAACTCCTTTTCTCCTCCTGTTTATTCTATTAACGTTATAACTCCATCATGAGAAAAATGACCACGACTACCGGAAATGCCCAGGTGGTTTTCAATACAGAAATATGTGTTCTATGTATTTTAATTCTTTGAAATTTAGTTATGTACATAAAAAGTACATAGTGCTGCAGACATATAAAATATATGTTAATTTAGAAGTTTTTCTTAACATAATTACATGCTAATTTTCCACAAGGATATTTTATTAGGAAAAAAATATATTTGTCTAAACATGAGAATCTATTGTATGCTTATCGTCAGCTCTAACTCTGTTTGGATTATCAGCAGCCAGCAGCACAAGAAATTTCCCATAAGAGTCAATGCTTTAGTATATATTCCTCTGGGAGAACCAAGCATTTGCTGATCACCCAAAGATTTCAATGTGTGACAGATTCTCAATGATGATTAAAGATTTTGAATAGGAAATAATTTTCTTATGGATAGAATAAATAAGTAATTCCAAAAATATTAAGCTATGAGAAAGAAACAATATTATCATAAATTGATTCAAGATGAATTTCAATAAAAATGTTTAAACAGATCTTGAGAAACATTATTATTATTATTATTATTATTATTATACAATTAACTCTAAAAGAATATAACAAACATTTTATTTAGCATGTTTATATAGCAAGTTAATCACTTATATACACTAAGTTAATCACTTAGAACAGTGCTTTTTAACCTTCCTAATACTTTAATACAAGTACTCATGTTACGGTGACCCCGACCATAAAATTATTTCATTGCTACTTCATAACTGTAATTTTGCTACTGTTATGAATTGTAATGCAAATATCTGCGTTTTCAGATGGTCTTAGGTGGCCCCTGTGAAAGAGGCATTCAACCCTCAAAGGGGTGGTCACCCACAGTTAACCAATAACTTATAAGCTAGGTAAATTTCTTCGCATTTATTAACATTTTAATATGAAATATATTCATCATCAGATAAAATATTAGATTTATAAATTAACCTATACCATCTGATAAAATGATTGGCAGGAATATGCTAAGATGTAATTAATTATGGTGTGGTCATACTGGAAAGAGTGGGCTTCCCACATAGCAGCACTGGTATTTCTACAAGACAAGTAACACTATGCCATACGCCTTCCCGGGGTAAATGACATGGAGAAATATGAGAAAAAGTCAGCCTTTTGGCCACAGAGGCAGACACTGGAAGGGTGATCTCTAAGTCAAGGCACACCAAGGATGGGTTACTGTCTCTAGAAGCCTGGCAAGAGGCATGAGGTATGGAGAAGATTCTCACTCAGGGCCTCGGAGACAGCTATCTCTGACAACGTTGGCTGTGGAAATCTAGTTTCCAAAACTGAAGAAAATTTATTTATTTATTTTGGTTTTCCGAGGCTGGGTTTCTCTGTAGTTTTGGAGCCTGTCCTGAAACTAGCTCTTGTAGACCAGGCTGGCCTCGAACTGACAGAGATTCACCTGCCTCTGCCTCCCAAATGCTGGCATTAAAGGTGTGCACCACCACTGCCTGGCCTAAGAAAATGAATTTATATTCACCAAATTTTGGTAGTTGTTTCACTATCTCTATTATGGAAGAGTAGGTGGGTGGGTAGGTGGATGGATGGACTCATAGATGGATGAAAGTAGATAGATGATAGATAGATAGATAGATAGATAGATAGATAGATAGATAGATAGATAGATAGATAGATGATAGATAGATAGATGATAGATAGATGATAGATAGATAGATAGATAGATAGATAGATAGATAGATAGATAGATGATGATGGATAGATAGAAAGATAGATAGATAGAAAGATAAATGATGCAGTTTTAGGCAGACTAAGTTCAAGGCCCCCTAAGTTTATGCCTAATCATTATATGAAAATATTAGGAAGTATTCAATGAGGTTATATGTGCTAGCATAGTTCTTAGCTGAATCATACAAAACTATAGGTCAGAAACTGTTTAACTGAGGCAATTTTATGTGGCCTGACATAAGAAATTACATAAATAAGTCAACCTTTCTGAACACCCTGATCTTATTTGTCCTCAGGTACAAAACCATTGCTGACTGTTCTAAGAAAAGATTTCCTCTGCATTATTTTGGCGCTGCAAACAGAGCCATAGAACCCATTCATTTCCCTTAGAAAGGGAAGCTTCTATCTCCACGACCTATATGAAACTAAACACTGGAGGCAATTTGTTCTTCGTGCCTTTGCCTGCTATTTCTCTCATTTACACGTCTCCAAGCATGGTTTAATCCTAAATGACAAAGCTGGGGATTCCATCTAAGTCACGCTCAGTGCCAAGGCTCCTCCAGGGGTTTTTCTCTCGTTCCATTTGGCACAGCAGAAACTAACCGTGTTTGACATCATCTGCCTCGCAGCTCCACCTGACACATGGTTCCCATCCACGTGCTCTTGGGTGGCTTTCGGGAAGATCCGCCCACCTCTCAGATCTCAGTCAGCGTGCAGCCGGTTCTGGCCTGACTTGCAACCACCCCCACTCTGTAAATTAAGTGTCGGGGTGCACAGCACCATGTCCAGCTTCACACAAAATAGTTTTAAATGGTCGTTTCCTAGAATTTCATGTTATCCACCCCTTTTCAAAATTTCCTCAATCGTAAAAATAAGAAAAAGGAAACAACTTGGCAATTTAGTAACATTCTAACCAGTAAGAAAATACATAGCCACCAAGTCTAACTATAACGTGTAAGATTGCTACTAAAACCACTTACTTTCTTTTCTTAAAAATTGGATATTTGAAAGGAAATTATATTTACAAAAATTTTAAGTAATACTTAGTTCAGGAAATGTTACGATAAAAATTGATATAGGAAAAGTCAGAAATGTTAATTAAAATATCCCTGTAATTTGAGATTGACTTAAAATTTTTATGACAAAAAAATTAATGTGTGAGATTTATAGGCATTAATTGCCACTTAAATTGCTATCTACTCTAATTTAACTGTGGGGTTGTTGTTTGGTTGGTTGGTTGGTTGGTTTTTTTGCACAGCTTAGGACTCTAACAGACTATGTAAAAATGTCATTTTGTTTCTGGTTGGCTAAAATCCTGGACTGTTAAGTTCGTCCTTCCTGACACTGTAGATGCCCCAGCGCTGGGCAGCACATAACAGCTGAAGAAACAAGCTGCCCTTTGGAGACGGAAGCCTCCTATCCCTTGATACTGAAATGCCTGGCACATTCTTCTCTGGGACACTTTGCAACCGGGTTTTCAGAATTCCATGCATCTCCCATATCTGTTCATATAAAATTTGACAAAGGAACAGTATGCTATGAAGTGGGCCTTGTCTTTTTGTAGTTTTATGAGCAGAATCTAACCCATAAACAGAGAAGAACAGAAAGAGCCATAAGGCTGAAAGAGTGTCACAGAGGGACACCACCCAACATGTGACCTCACAGGCTTCCTGTCTTCGCACTAGTGTTACAAAGGAACCTTAGACACCTGTGGGCAGACATTTGTCTAGCTCCTATATGAGCTTCGGCAAAAGGAGCAAAATTCTAGAACAAAAGCTTCCCTTCTTGTCTAAATTTGAAGGTCTAGCCTGGGAAGCAGCAACATTTGTCGAGTTGCACGTCTACAACACACCCACCCTTAGAAAGCCTAGGCAGATTAGAAGCTGATGATTCCTCTCAAAACACAGACATTCAAGTTCCACTTCATCTTCTTTTAAGTCACAGGCTACTCTAGTGGCTAATACTAGAGAACTGGCATATTAAAACGCAGGCTGGTGCCCTCACTCCATAGATACACACATATACCCATGAGCACACCCGAATACAAGACTTCTTCCCTGCTCCAATGCTTTTCCTTGCCATCCTCCTTTCCACAAATCCAGTTTAAGAACAGTGTCTTTCTCACGTGGCTTCCATCAGACAGCAACTGGCTTCTCCATGATCACTTTGATTTTTGAGTCAGATGTCTTGCTTCTCAGGTCTCTCAGAGATACTGTTATATAACGAAATAAACTTACTGTTTTCTTTAACACTTTGAGAGCATAGGGCTTCTGGGTCCCCTTCTGTTTGCATCTGTACACAATGGATGTAGCACCCCTTGAGGGGGAAAAAGACAAAAAGAAAATGTTATGCTGTGGACATGACTTAAAGAGGAAATCTTGAAAGTGTCTCTTGCAGGTTTGCTTATGATTACCAAGGGTTCATAACTAGATACTGGTCCAAGATGCCAAGGGCCTTTTTTTCCTCACAACTGACATCTCTCAGAAAATTCTACGATTTTTACTGGCTTCGATTGCTGATGCCAAGAAGCACACCCAGGGTCATTGCATTTGATGGGCTCTTAAGAAAATCAAGTCATCAGGAAAATAACATTTTTTTCAAGAACAGCCAAACACTGGAGTCCCAGGGTTCCTAAAAGCCCATGGTTGGAACGAAATAAACCTAAAAGCTTCAGGGGGAGGGTTCTGAGCTCAGTGTTCTCATGAGTGACTGAACAGTCTGGGCTTCTTCAAGTTGGTAAAGAAGCTCGGGAAGTGCCCACCGCCCTTTTGTGAGAACGAGCTAAGACAGGATTGCTTGGCTAGTTCCATCTGTGAGTGGAGCTCAAGGGGAGTTCCTCACAGAGATCACCATGGTCTGAGCGCCCCCACACCACACACAAAGCAAGAGAGCAAGAAAACAGAGACATGGATGGCATGACAGGCCACAGTGGTTTAAGTTTCAACTTTGAGAAAGAACTTTCGGGAACTTAAAGTAAGATCAGTTTGAATTAAGCCTTTTAGAAGCTGAAGACCAAGCAGAAGGACTTCTGTAGTTAGTTACTTTTTACTCTTTACTATTTTGGGGGCCCGACACCCAGCTTCCAGATAGTCATATGGAGGCCTTTCTTTATTATGAATGTCCAGCCTTAGCTTGACTTGTTTCTACCCAGCTTTTTGTAAATTATCCCATCTATCATTTGCCTCTGGGCTTTTATCTTTCTCTGTTCCTACATGCCTTTTCTTTACTTCTTACTCCATGGCTGGCTGCGTAGGTTGGTGGCTGGCCCTTCTTTTACTTCTTGATCTTCCCTTCCCAGCTTTCTCCTCCTATTTATTCTCTCTGCCTGACAGCCCCACCTATTTCTCTCTCCAGCCTAGCTATTGACTGTTCAGCTCTTTATTAGACCAATCAGGTGTTTTAGGCAGGCAAAGCAAAACAGCTTCACAGAGTTAAACAAATGCAATGTGAAAGAATGCAACACATCTTCGCATCACTAAAACAAATGTTCCACAGCTTAAACAAATGTAGCACATCTTAAAATAATATTCCACAACAGACTTCTGATGGCATATTCAGCTCACGGTCCTGTAACTCTATGTATACACAGAGAATTGTAATAAACACATGCCAGGTGCCTGAGTACAATTAACTTTCAACAGGCAGAAGTCAGTTACATTAAGTCTTACTGCATTTTGAAAACATATTAAGAGACCATACATACATGCAAGGAGTTCTAGAGGAGAAATAAGTGAAGATAAAATAAAGTTGGTCATACTCTGTGCTATGTATTATATTTTTAAAAGGTAGATCCTAATTAATTAAATATGTGTGTTATATAACCTAGATCAATGACTAAAATAATTATTTAAAATAAAACTATAATAATTTAATAATATAAAAATGCAAAACTCAAAATTAAATGCAAAGTAAGGGGAAAAACCCAAGGGACTCAACAAATAAAATAGCTATAATGTAGTGGGTTGAAATTCAGTAGAAATAATTACACTAAATTTAAATTAAATATAACAATTAAAACCTCATTCATTCATTGTATTGGATCATAACACCGGAACTAAACTGCATACTATAAACAAAATCCATTTATAGATAAAGGCAAATGTAGGTAAAAAAAAAATAAAATGACCAGTAAAACATATATGCAGAGCTTTAATGAAAGAAAACACCTACATTTACATAAAAGTGAATCTCAGAAAATCAGTAGGGGAATACTACTAAGTTTTGAAAGGTCAGATTCCCTAAATTACCAAAGTATACACAAATGTGCATGCATATCCCAACAGATCTCTAAGACACATGAAGCTCATGATACATGATGCTCATACATAGAGCTGGAAGAAGTAAGAATATCCATAAGCATACATGGAGCCTAAGCATGCTCTGCAACTGGCAGAAAATGTAGCAAACTTTTGCCAAGGATACAGAATATATGAGTGACATTTCCAACTAAATTAAGCTAGCTTGTATTTATAGAAAATGACAAAAAGAACAGAATACAAAAATATACAGAAATAGTTCTATGTGTACGTGAAGACTTCATCTATCAGTATAAAGACAGTTCAGCAGAGAAAGAATCATCTTCCCAAAAAGAGACGCTTATAAAAAACAATGGAATGGGAGAAAATATTTATAAAACATATCTGATGAGAGGTGAATATCCAAAAACATGTAAGGGACTCAAACAAGTCAACATTAGGAAAGCAAATACACAGATTCACACAGTGGAAAGGGAGTGGACATTTCTGGAAAGCAGACATGCCGCGGTTGAGCTCAGTAGGTACTCCACACCACTAATCCATCAGAAATACCAAAGGCAAACAGAAAGGAGATGCCAGGCTCTACCCGTCAAAATGGCCTCTATCAAAAAGATGGATCAAATCCAGTATTTCTCAACTTTCTCTCTCCTAAAAGCCACCAATTGTCCCAGTTCTTCACTGGGATCACAGGAAGGGCTCTGTTGTGGACAGTCAGTTGCTTCAATGCTTTAAAGAAAAGACCCTTTAAAAGTTACTTTTACCAATGAAGTCACACTGGGTGTAGTAGGTGGGATGAAAATGGCCCCCATAGGCTCACAGGGAGTGGCATTATTTCAAAAGATTACGGCTTATAGCCTTATTGGGGTAGATTTGGCCTTATTGGAGGAAGTGTGTCCCTGGGGTGGACTTGAGGTTTCAGAAGCTTAAGTCAGGCCCAGTGGCGCTCTCTCTCTCTCTCTCTCTCTCTCTCTCTCTCTCTCTCTCTCTCTCCTGCCTGCTGACTCAGAGATCCAGATGTACAACTCTTGGCTCCTTCTCCAGCACCATCCATGTCTGTCTACATGCCACCATGCTTCCTACTATGACAGTAATAGACTAAACCTCTGAACTGTAAGCCAGCCCCAATTAAATGTGTTCCTTTGTAGGGTGGCTGATGTCATAGTGTCTCTTCTCAGCAGCAGAAACCCTAATTCGGGGTAGATTAACCACACTTCAGGGCAGACTCCACACCAGGAGTGACTGGCTAACATGAAACAAACAATGGTGCTTTTGTAGACTATATCTCATTTTTGCTTTTTTTTGGCAGTTTTTTTTTAATCTTATTGGTCTTTTGCTTGTTTATTTAAATTTCATTTGTGTGTTTCTGTGGGGCTATTTTTGTAATGTTTCTTATTTTTGTTATTTTGTTTTGTATTCATTTTCGTAGTGTGTGTATGTGTGTTTCTTTTATTTGTGGGTTCTCTTTTCTTTCTTTTGTTGAAAATATTTTTTCACACAATGTATTCTAGCCATGGTCTCCCCTCCCCCAACTACCAAAATTAGAAGAATCCCCTAAAAAACACAAAATTGGAAGCCGTAATGTCTATGCAAAGGACTTATAAGTAAGAAAAAAGAAAGAAAAGAGAAAAATGCCTGTCAAAATATATAAGGCAAAGAATGTACAAAGATATCATGAGTTTTTTAATATTTATTTATTATGTATGCAATATTTTGTCTACATGTATTCCTGCAGGCCAGAAGAAGGCACCAGACCTCACTACAGATGGTTGTGAGCCACCATGTGGTTGCTGGGAATTGAACTCAGGACCTTTGGAAGAGCAGGCAATGCTCTTAACCTCTGAGCCATCTCTCTAGCCCCTCCTGAGTTCTTTAATGTTGGTCATGTGCTGCTGGGCAAGGGGCCTGGCTCTGCAGGACCGGCACACGCATGAATTCACAGAGACGGAGACAGCATGCACAGGGCCTGCATGGCTCTGTGGGTCCCAGAGCTGAGAGCAGACATGGACACAAACCCACATCCATAACCCAGCTATGCCCAATTGATAACCATTCTCCAATGGAAAAAAAAATTCTCTCCAAAGGAGTCTCAGGGATACAAACCACTCTTGTCTGCTTTGTTTAGTTTGTTTTCTTTTAAGAGAGAGAATAAAAGAACATAAAGTTAGGGGCTAGGGAGGTGGAGAGGGAGAGAATTTAGAAGGAGCTGAGGGACAAGAAAATCATGATCAAATACACTGTATGAAAAAAAAAAGTTCAGTTTTTTTAAAAAAAATTTTTTTGAGACAGGGTTTCTCTGTAGCTTTGGAGCCTGTCCTGGAACTAGCTCTTATATACCAGGCTGGCCTTGAACTCACAGAGATCCGCCTGCCTCTGCCTCCCTAGTGCTGGGATTAAAGGTGTGCACCACCATCACCTGGCAAAAATCAGTTTTTTTAAAAAAAAAAGTTTAAAAATAAAAAGTTTCCTTTAACTTGGGTTGTGAGATAGCAGGACGTCACCTCCACTTGGGCTAGCGCTCCTCTTCACTGTGACTTCCCAATCCCTACTCTCACACCCGACCCTGCTTCAGATATTCATCCTCAGGATCCCGTGTCACTGCTTTCTGTTTTACTTGCAATCTACTACTCTCCCTTGCTTGGTAGGAAGGCCCCGTTTTAGTTTCCTGGCTTCTGCTTGTGCTCCAAAATTGGTCACATCTAAGGCTATGAAAAAGCCTTACAGAAACCCCTACTTGGTAAGCTAATTTAGAACCACAACTTGGAAAGAGTTCCTATGAAAATGCCCTGCAGAGGTGCACAGTGTTGGTTCCAGAAGGCATGGGTTACTGAGGTGTGGGGTGCTTCCCTACAAATTTTGTCAGGGTTGTAATCAACCACAGACTTCTCCAAAACAGCACATCCCATTGCCCTTCTTCTTGGCTACTGTAGTGGTTTGAATGAGAATGGATCTGAAGGCTCAGATCTGAGCACCGGATCCTTTGACGTGCAACTGCTTTTCCAGCTCTCAGAGAGCAGGTGGACAGTTCTATCAAAATGCCCAGATTTCATTTTCAGGAAAAAA